TTTTTATGTCTAACGCCTGAAGTAGCTCTTTTAAGATTAAATATTACTTTTGAGCTGGAGCGGGGAATGTGCACAGTCTCTATCAGTTTAGGGTGTGAAAGCTTTTGTGGTTGTTTGGGGCCAAAATTCTCACAGGTGTTCTGTTGTTCAGAGCGAGAGGCTGCACGGTTCAGTGGAAGAACTGGAGTTATACTGCCAGACAGATAGGAGTCACTGTTTGCACCATTGTACTCACCCGGTGTTTGTGAGGGGTAGGCGGAGAGATGTGGTGGGGGCCAAGGGGGCTCAGATGTAAACAGTCACGCCTCCCTCTGGCAGCATTGTACAACGTGGCGAATATAGTCCATCAACAGACTGCTGCCGTATCTGTTGGGGTGGAGACCATCCGAACGATAGGCTTCGTGACGCCTCCAGAAAAGGCCGAAGTTGTTTACAAAGGCAAAGTTAAAGGATCTACATGTAGACTGGAGCCACATGTCCAACGCGGGTGTGAAAAAGCTCCCCCGCTGTGCAGCGTATCTGAGTTGTCCCACTCTGCAGGCTGGATCTGAACACTTACGTTTTCACCCCCCTGGAACACAGTCTTCGTATGAACGGTTGGTAGCAACCGACATCCAACTATACCGTTTTACTGCCACATTGTCTCCGTGTAAACTCAGCCTCTCTCTCACTGTGCGGCTGCGATGCTAATGCTAATGTTGTTAGCACAGGTAGCTTCCCTTTACAGCAGCAGAACTAACCTCTCGCTCTGGGCACAAACACAGACAAGACACAGACTGCTGTGTCTTCAGGGCCAGACATGTTTATCTTCTGTTTTCTCAATTCTCCGCTCAAAGTGCCGTATTTTTCGCCGAGTCTTGTAGTTTAAGATGTTATTCCTCCAGCACCGCTCTGGTGGAGCCACTACAGACGCACTGGACTCACCCCTGAGCGCGGCGCTGCGGCGTCGCGTCGCGGAGCGGCTTTTCAAAATGTATTATTATATTTTTACATAAATGAGCCGCGGGCCGTGTCAAATCTCTTGGCGGGCCGGTTCCAGCCTGCGGGCCGTATGAATGACACCCCTGATTTAGATAGAAGGGGTGGAGCTACATGATTTAGCTAAAAGTCCCTAATATTAGTTTGGATGGATTTCATAACAACTCCAAGTCTGTTTTTATTGAAGGAACAATGTTTTTTACGTGGTTAAAAGCTCAAAAAAGTAGATTAGTAGTAAAACATTTGGACAAACTGTGCTGTCAGTCAGAGGAGGTCTGTCTTGGAACTCCATCCATCCATCCATCCATTTTCTACCCTTTAATCCATTTCTGGGTCAGGGGGGTGGCAGTCAGAGATGCCACCCAAGTCTCATAGCACCAGCCTCTATGGTGCTATGAGACCATAGAGGCTGCATCTTGGAACTCAACATACATAAAAGAAGGCCCAACATATAGTTATTTTAAAAAAACAACTTAAACCCCATATTAAAGTAAATCAGTCCTGTAACTGTAACTTGTATAGTTGTGTATTGTGTTTTGTATTCTTATTATTGTGTGACCTGCCTCGGGACTACGGATGTAAATTAGCAGTTTTGCTACAATCTGGCACATTTACATTTTGTGTACAACTTGTATATGATTGTTCATTATTGTGTGTTGCCCCGATCAAATAACTAAATAAATAAGATTTAAATAATTAAAAGGGATACAATAACCGGTATGCGTTGAATAAACTTTAGAATTATCAACCAACAAATCAAGATCAGTGACCATGGGATCTCAAAGTACTGTAATGATCACATTGTTAGTTGATATCATGTTGAGTCGACCTACATTTTTAAGCTTCCTTTACTGTACAAAGATGAGTACCATCTTCCCCATCACCACTACAGCAGAGAGCAGCTCATTTAGATTATGCAAATGGTTCGCTCGTACTCCTTTGCGAGGATTACTGGACACTATGCGAGTGCTAATAAGAGAAACGGAGCCAGGGGTTTGGCAGAGAGGTGGCGATTAGGTATAGAGGGAAGAACATTCAGTGGGAAAAGGAACAAAGTAAATGCCACGGCCAACAGCAGCAGCAGCAGCAGCAGCAGCAGAATCATGTTATGTGTTAGCAACGCTGTGACAAGTGATAACTTTGTGGCCAATGACAGGCACATTTAAGCCTAAAAAGCCAGAGATGAAAATAGTTTGCAGTGGTAATGCAGAGAATAGCTAGTAGCTGTGGAGTTAACTTTGTGCTGTTGTAAAAATGCACACCAGCTGCTCAGTCGACATATTTCGCCCTCATGAATCATGCAGGTATCAGGGTCCCACTTGTTTCCTGCAAAGCCGGAAAAACAGGTGATTTTGTCGATGTTGAATTACAATTTTTGGAGGTCGTTTCAGGGCCCGTTTTCTCCTCTTTGCCTCTAATAGTAATAGTAAAAGATGTGCAAGCCTTCTTGGGTAAAAACAGTTTACAAAGACCTTGGCGTGTCCTACGAGGTATTAGGCAAATTATTTCCGTTGATTTATTGTACAATTTGGCACTTCAAATCGTACTCCTTTTTTCCTCTGACATAATGATAGTTGGGATTCCATGGTTTCTAATTAAAGTTTGATGTGCCAGTCAGAGTAGTTAATAGCTGCACTCTATGATGATTCAATATGAAAGTCGTTGTGGCTCTGTCTGTCTGCACGTTACAGCACATAGAGTTGGCAAAACCCTCCTTTATTCGACATTGAAAAAGGAAAACACATTATAGAAGTTAATTTGTAGTCCCTTTGAGTGTATCAAAACAAATAGTAAATCTTGTGCTGCGTGGTTTAATAATTCATTGAAACTTCATTGGTCAGATGCTTGAAGTTGAATCATTTGTACTTTCACGTTCATTATTTCAGTGTTGTTAAATGTGTTGTTTTTCTACTCTTGTGAGCTGCAGTATGAGACACTTTGTAAACAGACATTCCATCATAGTAATTGCCAAGAATAAAATATAATGTTTAATTTAGTTGATTTCCCCTGGTGACAGCACAGACGGAGTCATAGTCTTTTAATCAAAATGCTGCTAATGATTGGTCACAGTTTGAGATGGCTGAGGGCTGATTACAGAGTGAACACAGGTCCCACTTAATCATTGCTTACAAAGGATAAGCATGATTACACTAGTGTGTATCTTTAAGATGTCTAGGATGCTAAATTAAATGTTGCTCTCGCCACTAAGAGTAATTTTACACAGCATGACTGTGTTAATTCCCGAGCAGTAAATAAAGCAGAGCTCCAATTGACAACTCAGTGTGAAGCCTCTTGATGCAGCAGAGCCCCCTGCCGGGCACTGGCGCAGGGCGCACTTCAGCTGCGCCGTAATGATTACTGCTTATGCATTTATATTCACAATATAACAAGGCGCCTTCAGGGAACAGCTGGACAAATGAGAGCTGTGGTGAAGAGGCGAGCAGCGACTGTGTGTTGTCCTGAGGCGCCTTTCACTGGCTGCTTAGTGACACCTACACCCACACACACTGTCTGTGCGTGTGTGCTGGTAAAACATGTTTCTCCCGCTTTAATAAAAGGTGAAGAAAATAAGGAAATCATTAATTAATTATTAAGGTAAGGTTTACTTTGATTTCCCCTCCAACTAACGGGACATTGGTCTTCTGTGCTTGGTAGAGCTGTTTCACATACATATATATTTCAGAACATAAAAACAATTACAAAATAGAAATAAACACATTAGAGCTGCAACTAACGATTATTTTGTAATCGATTAATCTATCGATTATTTGTACGATTAATCGAGTAATCGCTTGGCTGTGAATTGTGTAGAAAAAAAATATTTTTTCATCACAAAAAGCTAAAGTGGCAACACTCGAGGACGTATTGATGGCGTAAACTTAAAGTAAATGTTTGTAACAGGCTCTTTGTGCTAATTCTGCTATCTGATTGGATGAGACAGACAGATATTTATGAAATTATAAAAACAAAGTCGGTTTTAATCAAAAATACTACATTTTCATGTCATTTTTGCTCTGTTTGAGTCCGTGTGAACCAGAAAACGATTAATCGATTACTAAAATAGTTGTCGACTATTTCAATAATCGATTAGTCGTCGATTAATCGATTAGTTGTTTCAGCCCTAAAACACATAAGACAAGGCAGGTTTATTTGTGTAGTACCATTCATACACAAAACTAGTTAGAAATTATCATGCTGAGGTAAATTAATTGATAATCAAATTACATTAAAAAAGAATGAAGATGCAATCCTTCAGTTGTGCACACAGCAAAACAGAACTGTTTTTTTAACCTGGATTAGCACAAGATACACAAGAAAAGGAACTACTGAATGATTATGAGTGAATGAATGAATCAATGACAGAATGAGTCCTTTTGACCAACTCCAATGTATGTAGCCTTTCCTCTTTTTATTATGTAGATAAATATTCACTGTTATTTAGAATTGGTTTGGAACTGAAATGGATGGACTTGTTCATAGGTTTAGTTTGTGCTGCCATCTGCTGGCCCTCTGTCTCTGTAACAGTCAGAAAGCTACAGTTCACATGAGGATGTGTGGCTCTTGTTTATCCACCCACACAAATTTTTAACTAAAGTCACTTTGTGTTATAATAAGCTGCTTCTGGATGACTGTGTGTCTTAATGGGACCAATTTGTCAAGAGCAGCTGTGCATGTGGACGCGCACCGCCGATACAATCACACAGAATACATAATTGTTTTGTGCTTTGGTTCAAACCCTGGGGTTATACAGACTGTCCCACACAAGGACACAGAGGGTCGACCACAAAGAGCAAACTGGTGGAGCGTTGGGTAAAATCGGGGGACATACAGGTGGAGCTAGTGGACCAAGGGCGGTGAAGGGAGGTGGAAGCCCAGGAGAGGACAGGTATGGAGGGAATAAAAAGACTGAGATGGAGAGGACCAGGTAGGAACTCAGCTCACTCAGCACAAAGCAGAGCACAACCGCAACATCGCCCTAATTTTCTATGAAAGTAACAAGATTCGTCTTTAAAGTAGTGGATATGGAAAGAGAAGAGAGCAGTGAAAATAGTCTCCACACCATAGCCATCATACTCATGTGCTGTGGTGCTGTCAAATTGCTGCACCTGATGGGAGTCATCACTGTGGATGGTGAGTTGATTTTTTTGGCATTAGCGAGAGTAGATTATGATTTTAAGAATTTTCTTTTACCTTTCTTATTGTATATTTCACATGACTACTGCTTGGGCTGGCCTTTATATTAAAAAAGTGCACAGTTAAGCTTATTGCTGACTGTGAAGGAACATTTATACATGTGCATTATTTCTGGATGCTACTGTATGTTGCACTGGGACTCTGTGTTTTGTGCCTTTGTAATCGCATAGCGTGACGGTGACTCCTCTCTGTGTTTTGAAACAAGTAAAAGCTGGTTAATTTCACAGCAATTGTGAGGCTTTTTAATAGAGCTGGTTTGGTTGATGTGGAATCTTATGACTAATCCATATTGTTACTGCTTTATACCTTGTTTTTCTGTCCTTGTGCTCTCAAAATTTCAATTCATGTCTAAAGAAGTACCATTGTTGTTATAATTCATTCAATCATTAGTCAGAGCTTCTTATAAACCACTATTGAGCCCTGTTATTTATATATTTGTATACAGAGAGACTTACCGTGAATGACTTTCACTGAAGGGTCATATTGAAACCAGATTTCAAACCGAATTTTTGTTTAATCAAAATAATGTTGTCGAGGTTATTAGGTGATTGTGAATTTCATATGTCAAAGTCTTTATTCTCAAAGCTATCATCACAATCATAGATATTCACTTTGCTTTGATTAAATTGAATCAAAAGGCATTTTATCAGTTGAGTTCACATAATTACAGTCTTACGTCTAGCCTGTAAAATTGTATAGTCACTGATGCTCTAAATATGTATTCTGACTCAGTGTCTTTGTATAACTTTCGCATGGTCACGTCCGCCTATAGATACAGCTGGAGGTACCTTTTATATCTGGGTGTGTGTGTGCATACATCCCATAGTGAACAGTGTCCTCGGTCTCCTCCCCTCCAGCAGCAGAGTAATGACTGTGTAATGATATGGCCTCAGAGACAAGGACCAGAGAGCCGCTCCTCTGACCTCCACCTCTGCCGACCATACGTCTCTCCTCTTTATTGCAAACGATTTCTTTTACAGCTGAGAATGTGAGAATCGTTGAGCTGCACAATAAGTTCATCAATATTGTTTGTGTTTGTCTAATGTCATTGCAGATAAAGCAGATGATGACCTAGAGATGACCACGGTGTGTCATCGGCCCGAGGGACTGGATCAACTTCTGGCTCAGACAAACTTCAGTAAAAGAGAGCTGCAAGTGCTGTACCGAGGCTTCAAGAACGTAAGTCTGGATTTAAAAAATGTATACTGTATATATTTAACCTTTATTTAAGCAAGAAAGTTGTGAAAGAAAGAAAGTTGTGCTTAAGAATGTATTTTTCAAGGGAGTCCTGGACGAGCAGCAAAATGTACACACAGTTACATAAAATTACAGATTCTAAAACTAGTTTCACACAATTAAATGAAATTAAAGATTATAAAAACAATTACTTGTAATAAGGATTTCTCAAGTGCGCTCAGTCTGGACTTAAAAGCATTCAATAAAATAAGTTTAGTTAATATACAATGAAAGTGCCACATTTAGGACTAAAAACGAGGAGGGCAGGTGGTTGTACGGGTGGTTGAGTGGTTAGCACTCTCGCCTCTCAGCAAGAAAGTCCTGGGTTTGAATCCCGGTCGGACCAGGGCCTTTCTGAGTGGAGTTTGCATGTTCTCCCCGTGTCTACGTAGGTTTCCTCCGGGTACTCCGGTTTCCCCTACCACTAAAAATATGTACAATAGGTCTCCCATCTCTGTGTGGAGTGAGAAACAAATGCCCAAAATTAACAATTGTAAACCGCTTTGAGACTCAGATCTGCAGTGAAAAGGCGGTATATAAATAAAGATTACTAAAGATTACTACTAATTACTAATGTACCCTACTTCCATTATCTTGTGATTTGAAGAAGAAATAGTCAATAGTTATGCACGATCCTTCCAGAGCTCCACCTCGACCTGGTGGGACTGTTTGAGGACACTTGTGCCCCATGATGCCAAGAGGGCAACCATCGAACCCAAGGACTTCCAGCTGGCCCGACTTATCCACTGAGAGAGGACCTCATCATACGCTGAACACAAACTGCTTACGCACACTGTTTAACTATTGAATAGTTTCCTCAACCATTTGGTGGATCACTTTTTGTGTCACAACATCTCCTTGAAGCTTGGAACTGAAATATACCTTATTACAGTATATTAGGGCAGGGGTCATCAACTATATTTGTCAGAGGGCCAGAGTTTACCAGACAGTCTCCTTGAGGGCCGGACCCCCAAAGAGAAAATTAAATCAGATTCAGGTTCATATATTTGCCATTTGCAGTAAAACCACATTGGAATACATCCGCAAAAGTCCCCATGTGCACAAGGCAAGTACATAAATAAAACAAGGTTAAACTTGCAGAAATAAAGCAAACAAAACAGGAAACAAGATCATTTAAAGTGCTCTGTTTAAACTTTAAGCTTGTGGAAAAAAGCTGTGAGCAAAACGAGATGTCTTGCATCTCGACGAACAATATCTTCTGCCAGAGGGAAGATCCTGGAACATGGCTTTTCCAGGGGCCAGAGGAGTCATTGATTATTATTATAAAAAATAAGAAAACCAAAAATGTTGCTAATTATAATTTGCGCGCGGGCCGCCAGTTGATGATTAGTGTATTTGGGAATTTGTACCACTTGGTTTTTGCGACTTCAAGCTGCATCTCAACCATTTGGTAAAGGCCTATGTTGCATAATTAAAATGTTGTATACTAATGATTTTGAAAATAGGCCCTCTGAAGAAGGTGCACGGGGAAAAGCCCCAAGGACAAAGGAATATGCACTCAGGAATCATAGAGATGACCAGCTTACAAAACCGGACAATTATTGACTCCAAGAATAAACAAATGCTCTCTCCCACTCTGGACGAGGGCAAAAGTCCAACACAATCAGGCGCCCAGTGGTGGGGGGCATTGTTTGCTCAGGTGGAGAGGGAAGACCAAGACCGGGTCCAGACCAGGGGCCAGACCAGTCCCAGACTGTGACGTCATCGGACCCTTTGATAGAAACTGCTGGGAGGAGATTGGCAGTCAGTCAGCCGAGGGCCAGGAGAGAGGGACATATATAGTTTTAGGAGCACTTTTTGTTGAATATTCTGTATCTGATTGTAAAGATAATTAAATGCAGATGTTAAACGTGAAGATCTCTTGTCTCGCTCTTGCATCGACTTTGGATACGTCAGTCAAAGGGAATTATTGACTTCACCTATAATAAAAATAAGAAATAAACTAGGGGTTAAAAAACAACATAAAAAGTCATTATTTGTTATTAGTGCTTCTATATCCTTGAAAATTAATACAAGAAAATTGAACCTTGCTTTCCTCGAGGAGTGAACATTAAACGGGTAAGAGGGTTAATCCTGGGGTTTAAATTGAGATTAGATTGGATTTATGATTTTATGTAAATGTCTCTCTTCTGTTTTGTCTGCGTCAGCTCCAGATGGTCACCAGATTTTCCCCTCGTGGGATGAATCAAGTATCTACAGTATCTAAACACTGGAGATAACATGCCGGCCACTATTACTGAGCCTGATCTATATTCTCTAATGTCTCTTTGTAACTTTGTAATGTAACTATTCCAGTAAGGGCTCCAGTATGATGTTGGTGTTGTATATTGACCTGTATTATTAAACATATTAGGGCTGTGACAAGTTCATTGATTAATTGCATCAATTTTATACTTTAAATACTTGAGTTTTAATTAAATCAGTATCACATAAAGCAAATGTAATGGTTTCTCTCCTTGGCATAAACAACACCAGAAAGATTTGCGGGAAGAGAATAGTTCATATTTTTGTCTGTCTATCTAATATTTAAGTGAATTCCATCAAATGAGGAAGCAGAAGGGGTGAGAATGAGAAGGTCTAACCGATTGCTTTGAAAAAAAAATCTCTCTCCTCCAATCAAAAACTTACTGTACTGACATTCACTTCAGTAATACATACTTGAGTAATACATACTTCAGTAATACAGTAATACATTACTTCAGTAATACATTAATAGGTTACATGGACCAAACCATGCTGAGAAGAGGTTTTACAGAGCTATGATTATTACATAACGACATATCATTGTTTTTAAAAAGGTTTCTGATCAAATAATAATCCTGTGGCATCACGTCAACTTTGCTTTTGTGAAATGAATAACAAAATCCTTCATTCCACAGTTCTAAAAAACGAATTGATTATTGAAAGAAACATCTACAAACTAATTGATTATCAATATTCTCAATTAAGCCACATATGTATCTATGTCCATATATAGATACGATGGTGACGACAAAAGAGCAAGTAACTGATCAATCATTGTCTTTCTTTTTATAAAAACCAGCTGAATTTAAAGGGGGCTTAACATGTGCAATCGCGCAACGTCTTAATATATTTTAATGAATTTTATCTTGTAATATTGCACCCTCAGTAGATTATCTACTATACCTGAGGACTCTGATACTGACCACAGTTACACTCCCTACATGGTTTTAATTTTGTTTGCCACTACGTATTCTTCCATTCTGAAAGGAAAAACAAAAAATTAGATGTCCGCTAACTTGTATGATCTGATTAGAGCATGCAATTCCTTTGATGTGATCTGGAAGATACAAATCCATATAACAGACCAACAAACTGAGTACAGACAGAAAAGGGTTCTTTACTTAAGTGTACACTGTCTATACACAATGCCAACGCTGCTTGTTTCGATGTCGGTAATATTAAAAGATTCTGCCTCCACCTTTGTTCTCTGCAGGAGTGTCCCAGTGGTGTAGTCAATGAAGACACATTCAAGCAGATCTACTCACAGTTCTTCCCACATGGAGGTAGTCTCAGTTGTGGTTAGCGGTGTTTACAGTGCAAACCAAATGTTACACCACGTATAAGAGACTCAATATTGGTACAAGGTTGCAAAGGATTTGTTTTGTTCTTACACTCAGCAAAGTCAGAAGTTTACGTACACAAACAAGACATGTCTGTTTAACAATTTGGGAAAGCCCAAATAATCATGCCATGGCCTTTGAGTTAAAGTAGTGCAAGGTAATATGCACTCTTAATGGTCTAATTAAGTCATTATCATGAAAATCATTTTGTTGTCTGAATCTTCCTGTCTGTGCAATCCACCTTCAGTAGTTTAGCTACAAATGGTAGAAACAGTGTAGACATAGAGCCAAGAAAATGTCACCCAACAAACTTGCAACCAGATGAGAACTTAATTCTGCTTTGTGATTGGATAATCTGTTTGAAAATTGTAAATATCATGAATCACCAATTTATTTTGTTCAGACAAGTTCAAATATGATCAGTGCATATGATCTGTTATTTGGGGAGACTGCATTCCATGTTACATACTGTCCCTTTAAATGGAGGCACATATGAGAATAAATTGTTTAAAGATACATCTTACCACTCATAGGACAATCAAAATAAGTCAAACTATTCAGGAAGGTTTGCTCCAAATACTTAATTTGAATTTAAAAAGGGGATAAAAATGAATGAAAACGTGGAACTGTTTGGCCTCAAAAATGTGGATGAATTGGATTGGCTTGGGGGTTGGACGTCTCATGTCTGGGAATGTTTAGTTGCAGGAGGAACCGGTGCTCTTCATAAATGGCATCACAAAGAAAGAACATATTGAATCCACATCTCAAGACATCAGCAAAGTTAAAGCTGCATTACCTCACTTTATTTTTGTATTCATTACAAAAATTCAATCCATATCCATGCAGTGCATTGGGATACGTCCTTTTAAAGAATAAGTAGCGCAGATTTGTCCTGGCGTGTCATTTTATTTTAGATCGAGTTTTCGTGCAACAAGGAAGAGAATTTGTTTTGGGACCAGATTGTGAACAATCACAGCGGACCACTGGCCCCCACTTTCTTGAGAAAACCTACAGGCCTCTCGTTAGCACAGACAGATGAGGTTTGGGGCGATAGCTCCCTGAGTGCGGGGAGGGCGAGCAGAAAGAGCGAGGCCAGCGCTCACATTCAAAAATGTCACAAAGTGAGTTAGTGCAGCTTTAAAGCTGGGGTCCTTAACTTTGTCACTAACCTTGTACTTTGCCAACTGAAAGAGTCTTTTAAAAGTGATTTATTGTGAACAAATGAGACCAGTATATGGTGATTTCATCTTATTAGAGAATTATATTTTTTGCAAACCTATAGGAAAGGATACTTATGAGTCACTGGTTTTAAAGTTTTGGGCTGAGAGCTGATTGGCTGAGTGAGGGTTCTCTTTTTTTTAACTTTTTTGTGTGAAAATGCATTTACAAAGATGTTACAAAAGCCAAAAAATGCATGCATGTAAAATCAGTGATAGAACCAATATTTTTTTTAAAGAAAAGAACTAGTTGATGGATTTTTTTTTAACACAGTTCACTTTTTGTGGCTTTAAAGTGTTGTACCCCAGCTTTAAAGCTTTCCTGGACACACATAGAGCAGTAATTACAAAGGGGGATATGGAACACAAATTAACTGTTTTGGAGTAATTGGCAAGAATTAAGAAGCATTGGAAGAATAAACACAACAAATGGTTTTAACAGAAATTCTACCAAATACTAATACATTTCTGACTTTGTAAAAAGTAAAACAAAGAATTCTCAAAAAATAATGAAAGCATTTGTAATTATTGTATGTCTCCTTGCACAGTGTATTTAAACATTTGGCTTCCACTGTATATCTACATGTGCTTTCCATAATTAGCTGTAATAATATATTTATATATTTGTCTAATTTTTTACAGATGCAAACCAATATGCACACTACCTGTTCAATGCCTTTGACTCTGCAAGTTCCGGATCAATAAAGTTTGAGGTTTGTTTTCAGTCATTATCACATCAGCCTGTCACTGATTCTCAGTCACCACGTCTCTGCCGTTGTAGGACTTTGTGTCAGCCCTCTCCATCCTGCTCCGGGGAACAATCACCGAGAAGCTGCAGTGGACATTTAACCTTTATGACATCAACAGAGACGGTTATATCAACAAAGAGGTGCGTTTTATTATCATGTACAGTCTGTAAATATGTCCTCATTCTATTCAATTTGAAACTAAAAAGATGGTTTGTGTGGGAAAATAGGAGATGACGGACATAGTGAGGGCGATATACGACATGATGGGGAAATACACTTACCCTGCACTCAAAACAGACACCCCCAAGCAGCACGTGGACGCCTTTTTCCAGGTGAGAAAGACACAGCAGTTCAAAACCAGATTTGTCTTTACAAAATATGACACATGCATATTTTGTATATTAAAGTAGTGTTTCAAATGAGTCTAAATTGTGTTTTGTTTCTTTGCCTCTTTGCAGAAAATGGACAAAAACAGAGATGGTGTCGTCACACTGGATGAATTCATCTTTTCATGTCAAGAGGTGAACCATGCTAGTAAACTCTACCATATAGAAACAACATACATGCATTGATTTAAAGCTGGGGTATGCCGTTTGTCACCACATAAAGAATATTGTTAAAATAAATATTTGTAAATGACCATAATATGCTGTATTTATCTTTCTAGAAGACATGCAATCTTTTATAAGAAGGCTAGTTTAGAGATTTCTTAGAGAGGCCAAAAAATACAAGCATGCTTTTAGAGGCAGGGACAACTTTTGTAGTTATTTGTTATGTTTGGAATTTAGGTACCCTAGCTTTAATCCCCTGTACCCTAGACTTAACCCCCCACTCTGTGCAATAACCATACAGTAGACTGTATATTAGGAGTGAACTGACCGAGAGCTGTTGTCACCATAGTGTTTCCCAAATGTGGAAAATGCCAATTTGAACACAAGCTAGCTGGAGCCAATGTCCTTATATGGGCATTTGTTCCCGAGCAAGCTGGACTTTTTGTGAAGAATGAAGGCATCTGATTGGTCAATCCTTATATGGCTCATATCTGGATTGACAAAAACAATATAATATCAAAATATAAACATAGATCACAGGATCACAAACCATGGATTTTTGTTTTGCCTAAAATGCTAGTGTGACACAAACAGTTTAGTTTTCAATCTAAGTCAATGGGAGCCAGAGTGAGTTTGCGCAAAACTTTTTCCATGAGCACTTCCCTATTGGGTTTCATCGAGTGAATGGTTGAGCTTTGTCCATCTATGTATAGTCCCTGACAAAAACCCATCAGACTGCACAGTTTCCTTGATAGTTTTATACTGCCTCCTTGTGGCTAAAAGTCTAAATGCACTTTATACCAACTTAACCATTTGTGTTTCTTTTCTGGATTGGTGCAGGATGAAAACATCATGCGCTCTCTGCAGCTTTTTGAAAATGTCATCTAGCTGAACAACGCAATCAGAAGAAGAAGTAGCAAAAAACAAAAACGGAAGCTGAGCGGTCACGAGGACGACGAGCCCAAAGGAAGAAGAATATATTTAGGATGTGTAAGAGCTGTAATTTGGGTCTGACAGTTTGACAGTTCGAACCTAGCCTAGTCTTACCACACCATCGTACAAATTTCACTTGTGTAGGGAAATAATAATTGACCGGAGTATACGGATGGCTAAGGCTGGGCTAGTTTGGACCCTATCCCAGCTCCAGTTTCAGTCAGCCCTTTACTTCATACAACCTCAATGTTGACTACTCGCCTCCTTCAGTGTGCACTTCCGTCCGACGTGTGAATACAAACTATCAAACCCCAAAAAACCGAGGACCATTCTTTGTAAATGAATTCAAATTTTTGAGAATCTACTAAAACTTAACACATATTCAAAAAGAGGTTGAAGCACAAACAGATATTTTTTAAGGACATTTGTATCAATGTGGCAAACGTGAGCAATATGTTCAAGCATGCAGAGCCCAGTCTTGTACAGTCTCCGTGTACCATATCTGTGGCAGTTTTCATCTGGTTTAATGGACTTGAGCTGGCGTACCCCTGTGTGTCGATAACTGTTATGTTGGTTGTATATAATGTTCATGTTATTTGTGAAATGATCATGTCGTGTCTGTCCGTGGCGCTGCTCTTCTGTCTGTCTTTCTGTCTTGTGGATACACACTGCAAAAAGTGAAAATATAGACTTGTGTAGTTCACTTGATTTCAGTGTATTTATCTAATCACACTGTTTTTTGTTTTACTTTTTTACTCATGCAGGCAGAAGATCCTTAAGATAATATTATTGGTTATCAATATTTTTTGTCTGGTTTCATTAAAGTGGAAAAATGATAATCCACTGGAAGATAATTTGCTTGAAACGAGTACATTTCCTCTAAAAGTAGCATTTTTTTTCTTTCTCTGGAGCCACTTTTTGCAGTGCATATATTGGCTGTGTGGGTGAGTGTAGTGTCCTTTTGTTATATCTTTGACCAAAATCACTCGAAAACAACATTCTTATCATCATAGAATATCATGTTTTGTTCAATTATTGACTCAGAAGGACCAACTGTTCACTGTGAGGAGAGCATGTCAAAAATGAAGACCTGTTCACTGATATTGAAGGAGAGGAAGCCATTTCTTCAAAAAGAGCCATTGTGTTGATGATTACATGAGAACTAAATACAGATTTTGGAATAATTCTATCATGTCCACACTGTGCTTTCAAATTCTAATCGCTTGAGACGCCTCATACAAGAAGACAGACAGACAGACAGTTCTGAATGAAATCGTACATGTATTGAAATATTGTATAAAATCATTATATTTATCAATAAACTTTTCAAGAAATAAAAGAATTAATGTCTGGCATTTTCTGTTACTCCATGCCACATGTTCTTTTGTCGTTTGACAATATTTTATGCATCATAGAGAACAAGCAAAAGAAACAGAAATGTCACAGCTGTTGTTTTGTTATATACACACCGTACAATGGAAGTACAAAAGACATGTAAATTATGCCTCACAAACGAAGCATCAATTGTGCATATGAGAAATAATTTAAACTGTGTGTAAATAAACATAAACATGCAACACTGTCTTTATTACCAAGCCACGGGTAAATGACTCCGCTGTGACTGTTTTCATTATTTTCTTGACTTTTTATCATCTAACTGCAGGTCACAGTTGGGAGCAGTTTGATTGCAACAGTGCTATAGGACAAAGGGAGTCACAAATGAAATGTGAAAGGATCTAAGTGGCAGACCATTTATCACAAGTACTTCTCATCTGCAATTGCAGAGACACATTTGTTGGTAATAAAATAAAGTGTGAAAATCATTAAAAACACATTTTTGAATGCAACGTTTTGTCTTATTATTAAGAAGGGTTCTGGCTCCCCAAAACAATGCTAGAAAACTACTTTTCTCAAGAGTAAACTGACATGAAAATATATGAGTGGGATATTGCTTCTTGATCCTTGGGTCCATGAGGCAGACGTGTGTTCATTTCACATAATGAAAATATACACTGATAACAACAAGGTGGCACACATGAGAAGTTTGACCGGTTCCAGATAAAGGATCTCTTCCACATGGAACGTTTCCTTTCGCACAGACGAGGTTCAGTCCTTGTGCCATGTGCGTCTGAGTGCATACGTCGACTGTGCGTGTTTGGGGTCTATTCCCGCTCCTCAGCCCACGGCTGCAGGTTCTGCAGCGCGTACAGAGAGGAGTTGTGAGCACACAGAGGGTCCGACACCGCGGACTCTCCCAGGCTCTTGTGCAGGGCGGACTGCTGCAGCTGCAGGATCAGACGGTTGGCCTGTTGACGCTCCGCCTCACGCTCCTCCGCTGTCTGTCTCCTGCACAAAACAAGGAGCAACTTCAACAATACAATAATTTCAAACTCACACATTCACATTTACATCACGCACTGTTCATGCATTAAGCACTGTGAAAGTAAAAAACCACATTTTACATTTGAATTTATCCCAAACATGTAACTATGGTCAGCTTGGAATAGGGCTATTAGAATTTAAATATGACTTCACTATGATTCGATTCACTTGGGCCGGACTTAACTTACGACGACCAAAAAGATGGTTCCAAGTGGAACACTCGATGTCTCTGCGGCAGTGGGGGATGACTTTTGTGGATATTGAATACTTGGAACCGTCCATATCGAGAATGTGGTTCTAAAGAGAGAATGCCTATGTTGGACCATCTAAAGTCACAGTGTTTTGAAATCCTTTTTCGTTGGTAAAGATTTGCATTATATTATTTTGTGTCTGTCTGGAAATGCGTGTGTTTGTTTTTTATGTATGTTCATTTACATACAATGAAATCAAATAATGAATCGTGTTCCTCGTTTTTATTCTAATTCAATAAAATAGATTATTATGTGTTGGGGATAGCACATTTACACCTACCACTCCAGGCCACTCTTTTATTTATTTACGCGTAAATATGTCATTTATTTTAGATAAACTTTTCATGTTTGCATTAATTGAGCAGTCCCACCATGAAGTCACGTGATCACGGGAAGTGAGATGCATGTGCCGGACTTGGCTGCTCATGCTGGGAGTCGGGACTCTGAGTGAAAGTCAGATTATGTTCAGTAAACAGTGCTTTATCATGTCCCCCTCACCTCCACTTGGTCCTGCGGTTCTGAAACCAGGTCTTGACCTGTGCGTCGGTCATCTTGAGGCTCTTGGCCAGGGCGGCCCGCTCGGCACTGGCGAGATACTTCTGGCGGTGGAAGCGCTTCTCCAGCTCACAGATCTGCACACGGGAAAAAGACGTGCGTGGTTTTTTCCTCTTTGGAGGCGTCCGGTTCTGGTACGGATGTCCTATCCGCCTTGTGACGGCGAAGGGCACCAGAGCAGCTGCAACACAGGTAAACACAGAGCATCAGACATGTGACATCACATGTGAGAGATGGCAAGACACAAACACAGCTCAGCTGGTCTACGCAGCAGATGAAAACATATATGAATAAACGATGTAATTAACTTTCACAATTATGTTTTTTCTGTTAAGCTTGAAATAATTCAAACCTTTAATGGATTTACTAAAATTTACATAATTATAAGGAATAAATTTGCCTTATATTATTATTATTATTGTTATTATTATTATTATTATTATTATTATTAGGCTATTATTATGAGCTATATAATTGTGTTGTGTCCTTATTATTTTGTAATTCTTATTATTATTATTCTTCTTCTTCTTATTATTATTATTTTTATTGGTATCTTATTTCTCACCGTGATAATGAAGATGATTAGATATTATTTATCTGCAGCTTATGTGTGTCCAAATATGAACGATTATTTTGTGTTATTGGTTTATTTGCATTATTTATTATAGGCTTTTATTATTAGTATGACATTGTTGTCATTATTGTTTTATGTTCATGTTTTATCATGAGCCTATATATCATTCTTTCGAAATTGTGAGGTTCTATTTTGCTCACGACATTGGCCTATATATAGGCCTCTCATATTTGATTTTAACAAGAGGAGGAAATGTTTTACGAGTGGACTTTTGTTGTTATTGCCTTTTACATTTCAGTCCTCTTGATCCTTTTCGAACGTCTTCTTGTTTCCGCCTTACGTGAATAATTAATACTAATTGTCTGTCATTCGTCTTAAAACAAGTGTTAATATGTTTATGAATGCAGATTTTACTCAAGTAAAATATTGTACCACAGTAGCAGCAGTCTTACCTGATATCCTGTCTTTCGCAAACCTGTTCCCAATCCAGGGGAAGCACAGCCCCCCGAAGCCGGGCACTGCGCCCTGCACGGGGGCTGGGGCTCCAGACGCTGTGACCGGTCTGTGTGCCGGGACTCGGATAACCCCCCTGCTCCCTAAACTCCTGTCCCCGTAGGAGCCAGCCGCGTCCACCGGGGGCATGATGCCAGACAGGGAGATGGAGAGCGCGGTGTAGGAGGGCGCGCTGGCCCCTGTCGGACTGGACAAACTGTAATAGCCATCCCCGCTGCTTGTGTCCGAGCCGCTCTGACGTCCGGCGGTGCGTGCGCTCTCTGGCTCTGTCCCCGCGCCCAGGATCTGGTCTATACCGAAACTAATGGGCTCATGCTGGGTAGGTTTGGGAGGAGGACTCGGTGCGCTCGGTGGTTGCTCCATTTCCATCTTTATACTGCTTCAAAAACCAGAACAACTGCTCAGTGTGTTTTCCGCGCAGCCGTGTCAAACTGTTCCTGAAATCAAAGCTTGTGTCTCCATCCTCGTCTCTCCGCTCGTGTCCAGTCCAGGCCTCCTCTGTTGCCTCTTCTGTTGACTCCTCTTCACATGCTCTGCTCTCAAACTTTGATGGGCGTTCAGAGAGATGTGACGCTCTGTTCTCTTCTCCACACGTCAAAACGCCCCCTCCATCTCTGCGCGTCTTCCATTGGCTGCCAGCACCGTGACTGATTGAAAGTTAATGGGAGTGGGCCTTCTATTTGGCACAATAACCACCATGTCCCATAACCACTGGCGCTAGACTGATAAAGCTTCTGATGTCAACAAATGGCTCTTTTTCGAGTCGCCACATCTTTATTTATTTTAATGAAGAGTTACGAGCGATGACAACTTTATGGAAATGTGTCTCATCAGGAATCACTCAGATCCGAGCTTTTACATTTGCTGCGTCTCATTGTGGCCTGTACACTCCGTTTATTGTCCGAACGTGCTAATGAAACGTTCAGTGAATCATTTGTTTTTAGAAGAATTGAAAAGGCCAGGACCTCGTTTCAATCCACTCGCGTGCTTGTCCTTTACGCACATATTAGGTTTCTGGTTTATCAAAATATGCCTGTGTCTATTCATTTTTAAACCCTGGTTTTGATGTCTGTATATGGTAATTAGGCGATTTTTATCTGCACATCCAAGCTTTGACATACATTTAGAGAATGCTTTAATTTAGCATTAGATGGAAACAAACATTCGTGAGGCTCAGTGCGCCCCTTGTTCTCTTGTTGCAGAGGCGCATTAAATGAAATGACAAGGGAAGGCCATGGGCTACTGCAGATAAAGTGTCCGGCCTCTGGAAGTATAGTAGCTGAGCTCTCGTCCAATGGCGCCCAAAGTGACCCCGTAATCTCATTTGCACTAACTTGTCTGCGGGACAGACGAATGCGCGTGTGGTGTGGATGCGGCAGGTGGCTTTTTAAGCGATCGCATTACATCAGCGTTACAAACGAACCTTGGGAACTTCATGGAGCAATCAATAAACACCAGGATAATTATGCCAGGCTCATGACAGTAGAGCGTCAGTTTTGTGGGATATGTATTAGCCCTATTGCTTTAAAACTTAAACCTCAAAAGTGGCTTTCTTTCAAAATTAAATCTATTAAACTATAATGTGCAGTCTGCGGCTAAAAAACGTCACACAAAAATGCAAAAATGTGCCTTTGTATTGAAGTTAATATAAACACACCACTTGGCCCCTCACAATAAAACCTTATGAAGCAATATGAGACGGGACAAGGCCCGAGGTGTTTGTTTGGCAATATGGACAGAGTCTGAGCCTTGGCCGCCTCTCTGCGCCATATGCGCGCTCACCGGTGCTTTTGATGGGAGAGATGATGGGGCTGTTATAGCTGTCAGCAGCGAGGACATTTCGTTTATTTGTTTATCCGGGTTTGACCACTACATAGTAATTAGAGCCAGTTACAGTTGTTCTGCGTGTTGAGTGAAGAGCGCAATATGCTTTTTATAGACGAATAAGCACGGGGACATGAAGGGCAGACAGGTCATGTGCAAGTGTTATAATCTGGTGTAATCCAATGACTATAATTATTACACATTAGTGATATCCTGCGGGAGTATGACAGCGTTACACTTTACCCATCGCCAGACCCATCCTCAGCTCCCTCTTTGGCAGCCTTTATTCATTTATTGAAATATTGGGGCACACTCTGCTTGGATGGGCTTTTCATATGCATTGGCACTGTCTGTATCTCGCCTATATGTCTATTTTAAGATAATATACGACAAGATACTTTATTGTCTCCCAAACGTGAAATTCGTCATGGGACAGGGGTTCACATGCTCTACAAGCACCACAATTTATAAACATTCACACAATAAGACCAAACAGAAACACAAGTGGAGCAGCTGAGGCCATATGTATATATTCCCCCAGCTCTCAAATAAGTTCAATTGCTAATGGTACAAAAGACTGTTTAAATTAGTTAATTAATCTATATCCTATATTTTTTACGTAGCTAAATAACTGAACTGAACTGAGTGAATGGCCACCCAACACACATTTCAGAAACAAACGTAGAAACCATATAGAGCGTAAATGGAACTATACTGTTTCTATACGCGAATACGTGGCTTTGGGGATGGGGGGGCCAAAATGTTTAGTGTCAAAGCCTACAGCACCGCGGGTAAACAATTAAGACACGCATCAATCCTGGCAGTTTCCTATCCACAGGCAATCTAAAAGATGACACGGTGATTTTCAAAAGTCCAAAAAGAAACGACAACAAAAGAGTGAAAGAGTGCGATTTGTTTGAGAAATTACCACTTGATCTGCATAATCGGGGGGCCTGGGCTGCAGAGCGGGTACCCGGGGGCTGCGTTTTTATTGCGCGTCTCTTCGCCGTTATCAATTTCAGCTGCGCGCCTGACTTTTTAAAAAGGAGGGGACAAGGCCGGCTGCTGGTGAATAATGAATGACACGCTTTTATATTGTCGCTAAAGTGCCCGTGATGTTCCAATATGAAAAGGCAGCGGTAAGTAATAGTGCATTTAAAGGGGATGTAGTGTATTATTATGATGTAAAAGTCAGGGGGATGAGCGGAGAGAGAGCGGCGGCGCGCGGAGAGAGCACTGAGATTGTTTTATTACAATAAGAGGAGATGAGTTTGCCTCGCAGCAGAATGGGGACCAGTTAATGAAACTTTACCGCAGCTAACGATTTCCCCTCCCTCGCTCTAAAAAACGTCCTTATGAAATATTTAAACTATTTAATATAGGTAGTATTAAGCTGAAAGACACTGGCATGGACCATCTGACAACATTTACAAGGCTGTAGATTTTTAAAAGTTGCATAAACACTGCTTTATGGGGCTTTACAAGCGGGAGAGCAATGTTGTAAATCAGCCGACATTGGGAGTAATGATGTGAAGTGTGCTTTACTGCTGGCAACATGCAGTCTGTCTGAACAGGGAGAGATGCCCGCTTTGTTTTCACTTCAATATAGCTTTTATTTCTAAATACATTTCTGTTCAAGAAACAGTTAGCTATTTAACATGATCGATTAAGTTAAGTTATGCTTCAGTCTCTGTGGAGATGTTCCTCTGCATTTGACATCCAGAATGCCTCCTTTGTCATGGCAGCTGTTTACCTATTGTCAAGGGTTTAATATGGAAAACCGGAGCACCTGGAGGAAACCTATGCAGACCCTGTTATTTGAACCCAGGAACCTCTGACTGAGAAGCTTGAGTGCTAACCACTGTGCAATTGTGCTGCCCAAGATGTGGCACCTTTTTTTGGTGGTATTTCTTTCTTTATGTTATTATTATATTATATATATATATATCTGTGCAGAGAGAATTTTAACTTTAGTTTCATTTTCTATTGCCCTTTATTTCAGAATCTTGTGTACATGGGATAGGAGTCTATGTTTCTCTTCTTTGCACTCCATTTTGAACCAAATATATATACATTTATAAGTACAGTGCCTTGCGAAAGTATTCGGCCCCCTTGAACCTTTCAACATTTCGCCACATTTCAGTCTTCAAACATAAAGATATACAAATTTTATTTTTTGTCATGAATCAACAACAAGTGGGACACAATCGTGAAGTGGAACGAAATTTATTGGATAATTTGAACTTTTTCAACAAATAAAAAACTGAAAAGTGGGGCGTGCAATATTATTCGGCCCCTTTACTTTCAGTGCAGCAAACTCACTCCAGAAGTTCAGTGAGGATCTTTGAATGATCCAATGTTGTCCTAAATGACTGATGATGATAAATAGAATGCACCTGTGTGTAATCAAGTCTCCGTATAAATGCACCTGCTCTTTGATAGTCTCAGGGTTCTGTTTAAAGCGCAGAGAGAACCATGAAGACAAAGGAACACACCAGGCAGGTCCGAGATACTGTTGTGGAGAAGTTTAAAGCCGGATTTGGATACAAAAAGATTTCCCAAGCTTTAAACATCTCAAGGAGCACTGTGCAAGCAATTATATTGAAATGGAAGGAGTATCAGACCACTGCAAATCTACCAAGACCCGGCCTTCCCTCCAAACTTTCATCTCAAACAAGGAGAAGACTGATCAGAGATGCAACCAAGAGGCCCATGATCGCTCTGGATGAACTGCTGATAACTACAGCTGAGGTGGGAGAGTCTGTCCATAGGACAACAATCAGTCGTGCACTGCACAAATCTGGCCTTTATGGAAGAGTGGCCATTTCTCAAAGATATCCATAAAAAGTCTCTTAAAGTTTGCCACAAGCCACCTGGGAGACACACCAAACATGTGGAAGAAGGTGCTCTGGTCAGATGAAACCAAAATCAAACTTTTTGGCCACAATGCAAAACGATATGTTTGGCGTAAAAGCAACACAGCTCATCACCCTGAACACACCATCCCCACCTCAGCTGTAGTTATCTGCAGTTCATCCAGAGTGATCATGGGCCTCTTGGCTGCATCTCTGATCAGTCTTCTCCTTGTTTGAGATGAAAGTTTGGAGGGACGGCCGGGTCTTGGTAGATTTGCAGTGGTCTGATACTCCTTCTAAATTGCTTGCACAGTGCTCCTTGAGATGTTTAAAGCTTGGGAAATCTTTTTGTATCCAAATCCGGCTTTAAACTTCTCCACAACAGTATCTCGGACCTGCCTGGTGTGTTCCTTTGTCTTCATGGTTCTCTCCGCGCTTTAAACAGAACCCTGAGACTATCAAAGAGCAGGTGCATTTATACGGAGACTTGATTACACACAGGTGCATTCTATTTATCATCATCAGTCATTTAGGACAACATTGGATCATTCAAAGATCCTCACTGAACTTCTGGAGTGAGTTTGCTGCACTGAAAGTAAAGGGGCCGAATAATATTGCACGCCCCACTTTTCAGTTTTTTATTTGTTAAAAAAGTTTAAATTATCCAACAAATTTCATTCCACTTCACGA